TCAAACTCGAACTGGGAAGCCATTGTATTCAAGTGGTGTATGAGATTGCTCACGATCTCACTTTTCACTTAACCATCGAACGCAAAATATCATTAATACACTGAACGTCGACCATCTTCAACCCCGCCTCACGATCATGTGCTGATAGCTCCAATCATTCTACAGATGCAGCGTCGTCGGAAGTCACTAAAGGGGGATCCTTGCGGCGGGATGAGATGAAATTGATTCGTGGAGGGGAACCATGTCGGTCACAGCTCCCCCGACAGCGGGCGATCAGATGAACGGCCCCAATGACGGTGTCTCACTTAGCCCCGACAGGGTCCATCATACCTACCTCACATTTGATGAGGGACTCTTTGAGTGGTGTGGTCGTGAATGTCCGAACTTGTAATTGAACAAGCCACTCGAAGACAGAAGACCTTGAATATTTCTCGAATTTCCCTATTGGTTCACGCAATAAACTCTTGCCGAACCTTAGTTTCCATGTATTATTCTTGCATGGTCAATTGCCACAAGTATCAAATTCACACATGCGGATTCCACTCAGCGTACATATCCGCAAGCTCCATCCGCAAATCCGGGCCCGGAATCCATACTGATATGGGCTGTTCCAAGAGGCGATGAATGACAACCAGAAATTGAGAACACCGTTACTTAGTATTATGTACCTTAGGTAAATGCATCTGCTATCTCGAAGTCCTAGACCAATACGCTTTTTCTAGGCAAAATGATTTACGCCTTGAACTGTCTTCATCTCCTCGTGCCATGACTGGTCCCATTCTTAAAGACCGGTGGCCTCGGGCCCGGGCGCCGCAGTGGACGATGCAATCGGGTCCCCGAAATCAGGATCAATTTCGTCCTGCGACGGCGTATCATCGCCACAATCCGTACCATCTGGACCAACGCCAGTGAAGAAGGTATCGCTGTAAGCAGAGTCGAGAGTCCCTTGGAAGTTGGCGTCGCTGAAGGGAACTCTGGTGTGCTCATAACGGATGCCATTCAGCTGCTCTTTTGCTGCAGCTGGGAGGCGATCCCAGGCAACCAGAGGGGGGCTCAAGGCCCCTTCGGGACCATTTGCGGAAGGGATAAGAGGAACTCCGGCATCGTATGCTAGAATAGGGCGTGTTGCTGTTGCTGAGTTCTCCCAGCTGACGAACAGGGTGTTGGTGTTGTGTGTGGTGTCGAATGCGCCTTGTGGGTTCGTAGAGTACGCGACGCCGCGAGGCGAAAAGTTTGCGATATCGTCGGGACATTTATCGACGGCGAGCCAAACGACGGCTGTGATCCAGTGATGCTTATGCTGCTCGTCGTTACCCTGCACTTTGGGTAGGTAATAGCTGTAGATGATGCCCGTCCGGTCATGGGATTTTCCGATTCGCGTGTAAGTCTGACCAGTTTGGCCCAAGTCGCGGCAATCGCCGCCGGCTTTACCTGTTGGCTTCAAACCAGCACTAGCATTCGAGCTTCGTCAGTATATGCGATCTATGTCGCTTGGCTCTTAAAGTTGAATCTCACAAGTCCTAATGGTTATTCTCACTTACCCAGCAGCACCATCAGCGTCGACCGCTGCGTACGGAACACATCCGTGCCATGAGTGAAGCAGGGGCTTGAAGGTCATCTGGACCTCTCCATCGAGATCATAGCCAGGGGCTTCCGCAAGGGGGGCGACTTTGTCGTGATTCGCCCATTTGTCGTTAACCGCAACGTCGCCACCGCGCTTCCAGTGTGTATGTGAAGTTTCTGCGCTAGCAAAGTCCAACGAAGATATGAAAAGAGATAGAAGAGAGGCTCGGAGTGACATCTTGAGACGATTTTGTCAAGGAAACCTGAGAATACACCGTAGAAGATGAGATGTCTGATACCCTTTGCTGCTAGCCAGGAAGATCGAAGTGCAAAGGCTTAAAGAGTCTTATAGTCAACTGGTTCATCCATGGTAATCTTGCTAGAAGACTAACAGGTGGTAAAGAACGCTCTCCCGATATTGTCTTACTCTGCCAAATCAACGAGCCAGAGATGACAATGGTTGATCGATGAGAACCATCTTTCCAACGGAGAAGACCGTGAAGTATAATTGATTAGATCCAATCAGGGTGTAATAATGAATGCTGTGAGCTATCACGAACTGCAGCGTGACCTACTGAGCCTCATAATTTACTGCGCTCAAGATTTCGCTTGAAATCCATGCGGCTACGAATGTACAGCTGGAATCGCGGCGTACGCCGAAAGCTTCCTAGACGACACTGAGAATCAAGTCAAGGGAGGCTACCTTGGCGGTGCCTCGGTTTCATTTACTTATGTTTTTGAATTCATCAATGTTTGCGTTTACCAAGCAGCACACCTGCTCTGAAATCATATGTAAGCAGTAAACAAACGAACACCATACCATTACCCGCTTTTGACAACAGGTAAATAGATGAAATTCTACGCCATAACGATTAATCTTCCTAAACATGCAAGGCAAACCCTGATTAGTGATTAAACCGTCAATGTCCGCTTACCTGTCTCGCGTCTATCCCGACCGACTCAGGATGTGCAACGGTGAACCCGAGGAAAAGGCAAATAGAGGAGCCAAGGTATGACTAAAGGAGTCATGCTATTCCTGGCGACAATCCCGGAGATCTGCGTCTTCCGTTGGAATAAAAAAGTCAATCTAGAATCACGCCCATGTACCGCGTACCGACGTCGTATGATCCCACTTCAGGGTTTGCCGTGTGAGCATCAAGTAGGGTGCCGCTGGGGTCTACCTTACCCTGGATACCCCTCAATAGTAGTATAGATTGATGAACACACTAGGCTGCGAGAGATTTTCTCTTAAAAAGAACGTACGAAAAATAGTCTGATGATAATTCAATGATACAAGTCAGCTACATATACGTGCATAACTAAAAGCCGTACGTGCCTTGGCCATTCGGTGTCGAACATCACCATTCACTTTCGTACTTCAATGCCTAAGGTAGGCAAGACTATTTCCTGGGGGTCTACGCTATTTTCTGGTTGAGAGTCTGCTCGGCCTGGTGGAGGGAACTTGGGGATTCTAAGATTGGGAAGGAGTACCGTCGGTCTCGCGAATAATGTTCTCTCCATGAGTGGAGCTTCCACTCTAGAACTTAGAAAAGAGAGGTATTCATGCCGCTTAGGCAACGTAAAGATGCCGAGCTGATTGGCGATAATTAAGGTGCAATCAATGTCGGAATCCAACGTTATGAAGGTGCCTGCATTCTCGGCGAATTTCTCGTTGGTTTGATCCTTGTTCTGTTCCTTAAATTCCGTCGGGAACAGATTGCTCCGTGGCAACCCATACGCCCGAAGTGGCCGGGACTTTCGGGTTGACGCTTTGACTTACGGAATCGTCCAGGAGGCTCTTGGACGGCGACTCTGTTCTTTTGTTGTGTTGTGACTCGAGTCATTCATTGACATGAGTCCCTTATCAGGTGTTGCCAAGAATGCAGTCAATATGCCGCTGGTGACTCCATCTCGTGGGATCTCTCGCTTCAAACAGGAATAGAACACTTATTTGAACTACCTCATCAATTTGTGTTGGCCATTGTGAGAATTGATTGTCGAAGGGTCTTTCTCGGACCCGAAAAGTGCCCTCAACTTAGACAGCATCTCTTCGGTGGAATTTATCTAGGTTTTTGACGTCTAAACCCACCAGATGGATGAACATCTTGGCTACGGGATGGCCGAGGATGAGGACTTTCGATCTCATGAGCTTTGGTATTGCGCAGAATGAAAGACTATTAGCTCAAATTTTCTCACGTATAAATGGTTCGAAACTTCAATTCTCTGTTGTCAATCAATACCATCCCATCTCCAGCGTACCAAGTGTCTTTGAAAACATTCACAATGAGGTTTCTGCAACTTCTCGCCTACTGCGTCGCCGCCTCCGGTCTGGCTCTTCCGAAGCTTGACACAGACCTCGCAGTACGCGCTCCAGGCGACTTAGCTACTACGGAAAGCATCGCATTCGACGCCGATGGCATCTTATCCCGCGACTCTAGTGCGGCATGGATAGAGGCCGAGAAGGTCGTCGGCACCCTGAGGCACAACACATACTACTATTTCATGTCCTGCAACAAGGCGTATCCTGGCCAAAAGGGCATGACTCCTTCTCAGCAGTACACCATTGACCAGACAGGCTGTCTACATACTGGTCTGATCATTGGAAAGACTGCTGTCTTCCAGAAGAAGTTCAAGGCCAGCTATCTTCACGTCAGGCGTCTGGCAGACAATCCCAACACATGGACTCAGACTAGACACGATTGGGACGAAGTCAAGAGAATGCAGCAGTAAGATTCTCTCCAAGCTACATTTCGCTAGAGGAAAGTAGAAATATGTACTAAACCTGCTTTCTTCATAGCATCGATTACGGTGGAACTACGACATCGTCCAAGGGCAACCTCGATAGGGTTGTGAGAAAGGGTATGGCTGTCCCTATGATAACCTTGACGAGACACGAATGCTAACATATATTGGCTATAGGTGAGGAGTGGATTGCACTATCTGGCGGCCAGTACTCTGCCGACTGGAACTGCTTGGCCTACTACCGTTTCATGGCCTCGAAACTCTGAACGGAGGCTTTATTTATTAGTTGAGAACATGAGTCCAGCTCATAATAGAAGGGTGTCTATCAGAAAGAACTGCTAGCTGTCGCATCGATCCCGATTTATCTGCAATCAATCTGTTAGTCGTCAGACAGAATGAAGTATTATAATTAATCTGAAGCAGTTGAGATTGATCTATTCGAATCTTAAGGACTGTGCCTTCTCCATCTCCAGGCGGCGCTACACTAGTTCAAGGATACGAATCTTCCGCGCCGTTCAAAATTGAAACATCGTCAGTCCCCTACCCAACGTGACTGGCGGTCATATTCACATAGTCGCAAGAGCTTTTAGCAGAGAGGCAGCATTGTGTAAATAACACCAGGGTACTTATCAAATTAGTGAGGAGAAATTATTGGCCAATCAGCTAACGATTCTTTGGATATTTGATAGCTTTTGTCACCTGTTATTTGATCCTGATGGACTTGGAATGAACCAGTCGAAAGTGTTTAATAAGTCAAAGCGAAAAGCAGGTAGCTGCAGTGGCCTTGATTCTAAGATACTCGGACTTCTTGCATCTTGTTGCCAATCGTTGCCATTCAGATGGTGGTCCAAGACACGCTGGATGAGGTGCTTAAAGCTTGCGCATGACTGTCCGGCAGGTGCAGAAGGGGAAACCCAATCGAGGAACCCTATTAGCAGACTGAGCTGTTGTACAATAGAGGATCTTGTCATTTCAATGTTTTGGGTGTTGGAATATGCAGGGCTCGGCTGGAGCAATCCCTGACATAGGATACCACCAGCAGGGGCACCATACTCTAACAGCTAAATTCCAATTTAGTAAGTGCATATAGTAAGGTGCAAGGCTTCTTACCAGCCATTCGAAGTCACGTAGAATGACAGGATCGTTAAGAGAGTCTCGGCGCTTCCAGAGTTCGATAGTCAACCTCACAAGATCGAAACTTGTTGAGAGCAGCTCAGTATCGTCGAAATTGCTGCAGCGGAGAAGCAACCTTTCTGCAAAGAAGAGGTTTTTCAGATGATCGAGTTGGAGCGTAATCCTGAAATACAGGGTACGACTATCAAGATCAGGATCAATGAGATCGTTTAGACTATACCTCAAGGCATCCGGAATCTTGGAAGGGAATACGAGTTGTCGATCCTTCAAGGCTCTGTCCCCAGATATTAGTCCACCTCAATTGATACAAGGGCAGAAGATTTACGGACTGGATTTGATCGCGTTCTACCTCCTTGCTGTGAGATAACGCAACAGCAATGAGTTCGTCTCGGATGCTGGCAATCATGTATCTTGCTCGAATGACAGTTGAAGGATGTATTTCCCCACTCGTATTCCAGCCCTGGTCGTCAAGTGATTGAACTGCATGGGACAAAGCAGTCTTGTCTGATGCAAGATCTTTGTCGCTAATGTCGAGAGGCATTGGAGTAGAGCAGAAGCTGTTTGTCAAGAGAGGCGGCCGGCCGGTGAAAGAAACAGCAAATTTGTCACTGGTGAAAACCTGGGCCACGACTCGTCGCCGATTTTCGGAGCAAAGTGTTGGTTCGTAAGAGGGCCCATTCTCTAGACTATGGTATCCAAGATACGTGAGCATGGTAACAGACAGACTATGAGACACATAGCTCGAGATGCCTATGAGCAATTAGCATCGGCGCCAAAGAGTTGTTGAAGGGTTGTAGTAATTACGGGCATCACCATCAACAATGGAATCAAAGATTGCTTTGCGTCGACAAAGTTCCAACAACAGATCGTTGCCATCAGTAAAGGTACGTGAAAGCTCAATGCAATAGCCTAGACAGGCTTGAGCTGTTTGAGGAGATACGCTCTCCGAGAATGCGTTCAAATGATGACGATACAGAGAACCAACATCATCCGAAACACGTGCGATACTGGCCCACAGGAGTCCTATGGACTCCCAACGGAGGTTTTGGTCATGAAACTGACTGATCCATTGAGAAGCGTCATCTTGCTCATCCTCAATAGCACGGCGGGTATTCCTACAGAGGATCTCGGCCAAGTCGCTAAAGCATTTGTCGCCCTCATCTGGTAACGTTTCAAATGCAGCTTGAAGTGATTTGATGATCCGATTAACAGCAATTTGGCTCCATCCCTTCTGCTCATGGAAGGGTTCATGACAGTACGCCTGCAAGCTAGGCAAACAACGTAGCACGAAGAGAGCCGATTCTTGGCAAGGTGACGGGAGCTCACGAAAGATGACTCTATCGTGACTTTCTTCGTGACTTTGTGCGAGCCTTTTGCTGGGGTCCAAGAGCGAAGTGCCTCCACTGGCTAGGAAAAGGTCAAACTCAGTCTCTTCAAAAACTTTGTTATGACTTGTGTAGCCAAAATAGCCCGAAGGAGTAGAATTTGACGTGGTATTTGCCACTGCTTCCTGTCCGAGGCTTGGACCGGTCTCAATACCGAGGTCGGCAGCTAAATCCGGCGTATGCGTCTCCAGTTGCGGTGTCGAAGGGTATATGCAGTTGAGCTTAGTTCGTGCTCTCTGACAGCGATTGCATACTGGCTGTGAGCGGTCGCAAGCAAGCTTCCGGGTGCGACAAGGAGCACACGGCGGCTGGCGGGTGTTGCGACAAGACGGGGATAAAGAATCGAGGGGGACCATGGTTCAAGCAGGCGATAGATTCAAGCGAATGTGAGCGTATACGCAGTAACAGACGTTTGGTCGATTGATCGACCGAAGCGACTCCTCCTAGGTAAGACGACATTACTGGTTGATTGACTGAGCGATTGAATTTTCTTGCTTGGTTCCAGAAGCCTTTGTCAGCAGCTATGGTCGCAAAGCGGCGCTCATGCTCGGCTTCGGTCACTTGCAGCAAATAAATGTAACGGCTTCGGCTAGTGTGTCAATCACCCCAAACTCCTATTAATACTTGCTAAGGAAGAACAAGGCTTCGGCCCGAAGCCGAGACCAAGGCTGGATTTTGGCCAGCAATCTGAATCAAAGTAATATCAACTGCTTCTGAGAACCGAGAGTATTATGGTAAGTATAAAGTAGAAGGGACTTCCCAGCTCTCATAATCCTAAGTGCACTCGTATCTCTGATGAAACGCTCTCAGTTTTCTTCATTCTACTTCACAATAACGCCATTATGCATGCGGAGGAGGCTCTCAACGGCCTGATAGGGAAGTATCCCGCCAAGGCACACGCGTTACGTGTAGCTCAGTATATCCATGCTAAGATGCCTCACACGAACGGTTTTCTTTTTCTTACTGGGGCCCGAGAGGAATTCTACGATGATTCAGACCTAGCGATTCCGTACCGACAGCAGAGGCCCTTCATGTACTTGACTGGTGTTACCACTCCCAACTGCCATCTGATCTACGACATCAGAAAGGCTCATTTGACGCTCTTTGTCCCACCCATCAACCCCGAAGAGATCATCTGGTCTGGATTGCCCCCATCGAACGAGGAAATCCTTGGCAAATACGATGTTGACTCTGTGTTGTCCAACACAGAACTCCAATCATCACTGGACTTCATCGGAAGCCAAGCATGCCAGCGCGAGACCGCAATATTCACCAGCGGCGACCACCAGAGGTCTGGTTATAAGTTTCCTACGGAAACGGTAGTAGACTCGACCCTACTCAAAGAAGCAACTGACGAGTGCCGAGTGATCAAAGATGATTACGAAATTGCTTTAATGTACAAGGCGAACATCATCAGTTCTGTTGCCCATCGAGCGGTGATCAAATCCCTCAAGGAATGCAGAACCGAATCAGAGATTGATGGGGTGTTTCTGGGGGAGTGCACGAAACAGGGAGCAAAGATGCAAGCTTATCCGAGCATTGTCGCAAGTGGGCGCACAGCGGCAACGATGCACTACGAGAGCAACAATCAGAACCTCTATCAGAGTGGCAAACCCAAGGATGTGGTTGTGGTGGATGCTGGCGCTGAGTGGAACTGCTATGGTGCAGACATTGTGAGCTTGTCGTCCTTACCTTTCTCCTGAATCTGACTGACAAAAGCAGACTCGAACTCTTCCTATCTCTGGCAGATTTACCCGCGAATCACGCGCGATCTATGATATCGTGCTGAACATGCAAGAACAATGCATTGCAGAATTGAAGGAAGGGGTGTTGTGGGATGATCTGCATATATTGGCACATAAAGTTGCGATTGATGGTCTCCTAGCCCTTGGGATCTTGGAAGGGGACAAGGATGAGATCCTGAGAGAAAGAGTCAGCACTGCTTTCATGCCCCACGGACTCGGCCACTTTCTGGGCATGGACACACATGATACCGGAGGTCAATGCGACAAGACCGATGACAATCTCGATCCCATGTTCAAGTACTTGAGAGTCAGAAGACATCTACCCGCGGGTTGCATTGTCACGGTGGAACCAGGCGTGAGTTCCATTCCCACCTCCCGACTCCTCATAGACATACGAAATGTTGTTTCTCTGAAGCTGACACAACTAGATACACTTTAACGAACATGTGATTCGGCCTCTTCTCCGTGATGAAAGACTCTCAAAGTTCATCGACGAACAGGTATTGAACCGTTATTGGGATGTTGGGGGCGTGTGGTGAGTCCTTAACAAGTTCCAATAGAATCTCGCACTGTTGACACTGCCTCCTAGCATCGAAGATGACCTTCTAGTCACGGAGTCTGGCAGCATAAACTTGACAAATGTACCCAAAGATCCGGATGAATTGGAGAAAATCTTGTCAGGAGTGGCTGCAAACTCGTGACCAGCCTTTACCACTTAGATTCTAGCTCAAACGATTCAATCAATTCAATCTAAGAACAGGCTCATGTGGATTCAAGCATTACTTGATGTCGGGCGAATGCCGGGAGAGTTCCGGGGCCCGAAAAGTCCGCAGTGGATCTGTGTCGCCGGGCCCACCTTCGGAGCCGTTCAGGCTCGGAACTCTAAAAGTTCCAGCAGAGTGTAATGAGGCGCACTAAGCATGTTCGGACATCCCATCAGCGACTTTAAAATCGCCCAAGAAGGCCCTGGGGCATAGAGAATCAAGCTCAGGCTCGCGGGAAACGGGTATATAAGGCGAACCCGTTTCCCATAAATCGCGCTTTCGACTCATAGCGAGAACGTACTCATAGCTATTTGCACAACTTTACCAGCTTCATTGATGGAGATATGAGCAAGAAAACGGGTGCTGGCCTTTGTCGAGACAATGACCCTGTGGCCGATTGAGTATGCGAAACCAATAAAATTCAATTCTTTACGCCTGGTATCTTAGCCCGAGTTATAGTCATCCTACTCATCATTTACAAAAGGAACTATCACCGAGTCTTCTTTGATACAATCAACTTGTGGACATGACCAAGTCGTAAATGCCGTGTTTAAACCAGTCAATGCTAACCGAAACCCTTTTACCAACGATTTATGCGTATCTCTGGTCCATCTCGTAACGGGCTGCGTTCGGGTCGTAGGTCTTATTGGGTTCGTTGGAGGCGTACCCTCCAGTGTAACCAGTGCTTGGGTTGGCGGGAGCGTAGTTCCCGCGGGGCAGTGTGCCCTTGCGGAACTTGTGGTAGATGACGCTAGCATAAATGAGGAGACCAACGAAGGAAGCGCTGCAGAATCGAGGTTAGTTTGTCGTTCAATGGAAAGAAAAGCCAGTTCGTCGGAATTTGCTTACAGAATGACGATCGCGATAATGAAGGTAAATGCGCCGCCAGCACCGATGATGGTGAGGATGAACAGAATGACCCAGACCAGAGTCTGGATGACGTTGGAGACGAGGAAGAATTTCGGGCTGAGGGTGCGTCGGGAGCGCTTGACGATGCAGACGATGTCGAGAATCAAGCAGATAAGAATGATAACCATTATGACACAGAGGACGCCAATGACCCAGCTTGCTGTTCTGTTGTCGTCGCCGTAGTCGTTCAGAGCCTCCTTGTTAGAGGCCGCGAGGGCGATAGTTCCGGCGTAGAGGACGATCTCAAGAACCATGATCGCGATTCGAATGACCCAGAAGGGAATCAAGACGCGCTTGAGGAACGGCGAGCTATCGCCGATGATGTATGCTTGAGTCATTTTGTCGGTGTTCGTAGTTGGTGTGTTGGAGGTATCTGGTCGATTGCCGGGAGGATTGGGTGTATTATCGCCAAGTAATCGCGGGAGTAGTCTTCAGGTTCTAGACGTAATGTATTCGATGACAACAAGAACGCATTGCCAAATGTCGTGAGAGACTATTGCGCCTTAAGTAAAATTTGACGATGACCACGGCACTCGAAGGATCAAACCCCTTGGACCAACAGCGCCGCACTTCCGTCTCGCTTACAGTTGGAATGTCTTAGTTGCGTTGAACCGGCGCGCCACAGCCCCTATTGACTTGGTCGCCTTGGTCCTTGGCGACACAGCCCTAATTAGACTCTACAGGCCTGCAAAGTAACCTTAAGATAGTCCAACACGCCCAGCAGCGCCCCCAAACATACTCTAAGTGGCTGGAATTGCCCTGTGTTGCCTGTTTCATGGGTCCGAAAGCAAGGTGAATCCTGACTGCCAGGGATCTCGGCTGACAGCAAGCGCCTGTTGGTGCGTCCCTAAGTGGCATAGCCCCGGATCAGCTCGTAGATCCCTGGCTTCTTTGCGTCTTTTACAGTTTTTACCACCTATTCTCGACAACCAGCACACCAAAGTTCCCGATTTCGGGCGGGCCTAGCGAATGTCGCTGCCTGTAGTGGAGATCTTTTTGGCCTGTTGGGCTGACAGGGTGTAAGACTGTACGACTGTGCCCCTCGTACCATTCCTAGACCGTCATTCGCAGATCTCCCTGTATGAAGTCATTTCCATGCCGCACCGCTAACCGCCGAAACTTGAAAGAAGCCATTACGAGATTTGTTTTGGGAGCTGCGGCACTGCACAAATGGGGCCGATTTTAGCTCGGGGTACCTGCACGATTTCCATTCCTCGACCCTGCGTCCGAAATTGCTAACGGCAGCGCCGTTTTGAGTCTCGTCCTCAGGCAGTCACGATGTCTTGGTGAAATGCGATGCGTCGCACACGATCTTATGGTAAGATACGCTGTGGCACTATTTGGTTTCCGATCATGACAGTGGCGTCAGCTACTTTACATTTGCAAAGCGGGAATTGGTAAGATTTGTCCTCATGATGAGCAACGCTATAACATCCGGGCGATACTATGCGCCTCTCGAAAATTGGGATTTCAGTCTTCATTCCGGGATGAAGCGAAGCCATGATCGAGCCGAGAGCCTAGCAGTCGCTCCACCAGAAAAGAGAATGGGAATGTTCCATAGGGGTATCCCCTGATTTACTTCGCCGTCCATACACAAGGCTAGCAGGGGTTGATGTCTTCTTGGGCCCGCGAGAGGAAGCTAGCTTGAGCCAGTGGTCCCAGTAGCCTACCTTACATGTAGCTAAAAGCCATACGAACAGATGGCTTGACTAAAGCCACCCAAATGCCACCAAAACCTTAATTTTTATTTCCCAAATAATCTACTCTTGAAGATCGCTCAGCCCTGTTTACCTAACTCACTTTCAATACCTAGGTCTGTTGCATCTCCAGTAGTTGAATAGTCGCACTTGATTCAATGGGAAGTTAATCACCTCACTCAACATGAACCGAGCTGAAATCCATCGGGAAATGGAGCTCGTGTGCACATGTATTTTTTGTCCCGGTTGAGCACTGCCAAAATGTGATCGATCGGCTTGAGCCAGGGTTCAGGACTTGGCAGTATCTTACCTCAGCCACAAACTCGCGGCTAACACCGATCCTCCCTGACGAACTGTGGCTGGGCATCTGGAGTCAAAAGAGAACGAAAATTTGAGAGCTACCGTGAATGACGGCATCTCACCTGCCCTAAAGGATCGATACGGACTAGGTAATTGGCCCACTGCGTTGTGAAAAGTCCTTGAGTGCTAGATTCACTGACTCGGGAGGTGATCTTCTGATGTGAAATTTCTACGAGTTATTGTTTGCAACATCCGTCTAGATATGAAGGTTGAGACTTGGGACTCAGTATTGCATCAAGCTTACAGAGAAGTCACATCATCGATGCACTCCGCGAAAAACAAACCTCGAGGAAATGAGACGCAGAAATGTCGAGATCATAGCCATTTGATGGCTTTAGATTGGTGTGATATGAGGATTTGGAGACTTCATTCATCTAGTATGAATTACATTGAATGCTTTCTTGTCATCACTTATCAAGTGAGCGATCCGATAGATGTGTGCTCAGAGATTACCCATACATGCTGCATACGTCGTAAACAGGTGCAGTGAGATCCGCCATCGCACAACCAACACACGAATCAAAACAACCCAAATGTCGGCCGAGTCCTGGGCCAACTAACCGATCAATGACTCTTATGTCATCCTACCAATCCAGGAAACAAATCCGCTCTCACCTCCATTTGCTTTGTGCACAAATGTCCACGTTTCCTGTCAGTCAGACTTGGCTACGTCCTGCATCTCATCTTTGTCAGCGCTACATTCACATACCGAGAACGTCATTGGTGCATTGATTATCCGTCAAGCGCCAAATGTGATAGATAGTGGAGATCCATCAATGGCTCCTCGTCAATGTAAGCGCTACAGGTTGCGGTTCTTGCTCCGTGCAACACAGCAGCAGCCCAAACCAACAGGAGTAGAAGTATTTAAGACGCCTCAGTATCAGTCGTTCAATGTTGCCTTGTACTATGACCTTCAAAGCTCCATGTCTCTTGTTACTCACACTTCACAATGTCTTCACCAAAGTTCCAGATCCCGCCAGAGTTTGAATCAAAACTCCGCCATGTTGAACCTCTCGACTCGCGCTCCGATCAGGAGATTCTCAAGTCTTTGAAAAGTCCTCTGCCAGTTACTTCAGAAAAGAACATCTGGGCCTTTTGGGATTCTGGTCTCGACAACCTACCAAGCTGGGGCCAGCGCAACATCATCAACTGGGCTCGACTCTGCGGTCCGGACTGGGTGATTCGCGTTTTGGATGACGTCCCAGACTCTCCAAACAATGCCTTGAACTGGGTCAAGGAAGACCAACTACCCCAGGCCTATATTGCGCACAAGATGGATGGGCCCCGTGTGCGGACTGGTCCCCACAGCGCAGACTTCCTTCGCGGTATCTGTCTGTACCAATACGGCGGTGCGTGGGTGGATGTGGGCACCATCCTCGTTCGGTCCATAGACGATCTCTGCTGGAAGAAACTCGAGGACCCAAACAGCCCTTACCAGGTTTCCGCCCCTTGGATGTACTCGAACGTCGTAGCCAACCATTTCATTGCAAGTCGCAAAAGTGACATGTTCATCAAACACTGGTACGTAAGAATCAGTATCGGAGCTCAACAATACGGCACGACTGCGACTTTGATTGCGGGGGAAAGCTAATTCACTATCAAGGCACGATGTTTTCATGGAGATTTGGAAAGGCCGCAACAGCTCCGATGGCATTTTCGAAAACCCTCTCGTCTCCTTTGCACAAGATATGAACGCCGATGCAGTCGAAGCTCGGAACTTCAAATGGAACTGGAGCGCTCCTCTCCCAAAGGTCTTGGAGTACATTGCCCAAATCGTGTGCTGGATCAGAGTTGCTGCGGTCAAGGAGCCCAACGGCGGCTTTGATGGCGTCGATTACTTCGACAAGAAAATCCTTCTCCACGACTCGCTGTACGAAGACTGGCCGGCAGAAGCCATCATCGGTTGGAATGGTGAGGACCTCTTCGACCTCTTCTCAGTCCGATTGGATGCCGATCCAGAGTCTGAAGAATACAAGAAGGCTTATAACGTCGTATGGACGATCTTGACTGCATCGACTATGCAGAAGGTCACCCACGCCGCAGGCATGACCGCAACGAATGCACTGGGGACTTTGTGGGACATGAAAGAGAATGAGAACAGGGATCGTGAACCTGGAACTTTTGCAGAGTTGCTGCGGTATGGAAGCGTTCATTTTGAACAAAATAGAGAGATTGAGTACATCACGCCGCCGAAGGCTGATTTTGTGTTGGAGAAGGGTGTACTCGAGCCATGAGCGAGTTTTAGCTTTATCAGACTATTGTGGTAGAAGAACGCTCGGTTTCCTACAAAGTAATGTGAGTTGAGACTGACTCCAGCATTCAATTAAAGCAGAAGGAGTCATTCTAGACCTCTTGATAGAATGTGTGGAAGTGTGGAAAGGTGACAAAAGAATGGTCGCCTAATGAGAATGCATGTCGGTGTAATATGTGTCCCACGAAAACCAATCGAATGTCGCATCAAACGGTCTTTTCCGACCTCGCAAATCGGCTGTGGATGAAGCTTCAGGGCCGCTGCTTGCAGATCCGAGATTCTGTCGCGATTCAAGCCCCAGAGATGGCCCAGATGTGAAAATGTCAGCCGGCAGCCAGTTAAGAAAATTTCCGACGTCTAGCCCATTCCCCAAAGTGAAGTCATCAAGAGTGCCTTGTGAGAGGCTGTGGAGGCTATCCCCTACTGCCACTTCCTCGACATTCGTTTCAGGCCGAATATCTAGTGGGGGCCATGAGGAATCGAGGGTCTTGTTGATGGTTGCATGGCGATGTCGTATGTGTCTCCGAGCTAGTTCGAGGAACACAATTGCTACATTCTCCAAACGAGAGCACAAAACAGCGAGAAGCTGCATCTGATCTCTCATGCTCGAAAAATAGGAAACAGTTGTAGCAAGGAGACCAAGGTCATGGTCGATTGCCGCAGAGGCTTGGAACGTGGAGCTGTTGACCAGGTTCTCGAACACAACAAAGAATGGTATGAAAGGATAGTACAATAGATGCCTGTTGCCTTTGTTAGAAGGGATTATGAAAGTAGGTTCGAGATCCGCTGGAAAAGTCATACCAAACAACTCCGTTATAAACGGAAGACCAATTAGAGACGATTGAAGGTAGTATGAATAGAGCCTCTCTTGCGCACTCTAAACGTTGATTGGAGGAAGACTTGTCCCCTTTGAGAAGAACAATCACGACATGAAGGTACTGGAATCTCAAACTATTGAGGCCCAAGGACATTTCCTTCAACTGAGTCGGTTTAAGGAGGTGCCTATCTGCGTCCACTATTTTATCCAGAATCTGTAATTTGCACAGCGTAAGCGGAAAGAGATGATGCGACGCGGATGCAAATGCATCCTTTCATTGACATACCTTTTTCGTTTGATTGGCCCATTCTTCGAGCTGGAGCTTGATGGTCTCCCTCAAGGGTGGCGGAGAACCTGGGGCCAGCATATCGACGACTAAGCCCATGATCTTGGCTAACTCAATACCCCTGATGAAGAAGTGTGCTCCAAACTCAGACGGACGAGCAGCCGGTGGTGCACTGCTGAAATCAGAATCGAGATGTGGTTGAAACTTGAGCAGATAGCTGAAATCAGGCAATGGAACGTCTTGGTAGAGTTTCATCGGAAGAAACGGGGATCGACCAAATGCAAGGGCACACGACTTATCCAATACAAAAAGAAGCCAAAACATCGAGAGACTTCGCTGATAGGACTCGATATCTCTAGGCGCTAGCAAATGTAAGCCGAGAGCCTCTGCTTGGCGACAAGCATGGCCGACCAGCATCCACGACAAGTTCGGAGAGGCATAGTCCTCGCCATGAACAGCCAGCAGAGCTAATGCTTGGACGTTGACTTGTCGTGGTTCCAAGAATATGCGGCTATCGTTCAGAGCGATCCGCATGTTCTGGCGAAATCTCGCAGCTTCTTCTCCATGGTCTTGTTTCTCTGGAGAAACTTGAGCTAACATGATGTAGTTGAAATAGACCAACCAAGCCTTCTGAGAGACTTTATCAGGATTGAAGACGATCTGCTTCAGAAGCTCCTCCGAAGGTGTGACGAAGAATGGCTCGCCTTTTGGCGCGTGTTCTAAAAAGGCTAGAAACGCCAATGTCTATCAGCACACGGCCCGGTCGTGGGATCAGGGACCAAGTTTACCTACTTCCAATAAGCTTGTAGCCTATGGCTCTGGAAGGTACATGGAACCCTGAAATATGCAAGTTATGCCCAGGCTCAACTGTCGCGGTAGTCAGGGACGATGATAGAAACTGGAGCTCAGACTGGGCGTCCGTCTCTTGCTGAGACGAAGGACCAGGTATTCCAGGCGTGGACCGGAGGTTTCCAGTTGCTTCTCTAACGAAAGAGAAAGAATGAGACTCGCCAATGAACAGCTTCGGAACCCGAGAATCGGTTTGACTGCTCGCCTGGTTGGCCCGCGACGGCGTCTGAGCATCGCTTTCCGATTCCTTTTCGGATGCAGCTCGCAAGACAGCCTTTTCCACCAACAAAGTTAAGCGGTCAAGTTTGTGTTCTATGCTGCAAAGTCGAGATTCTACCGTGAGATCAATTCGTGTGACTGCTAGCTGTGGCGTTGGCTCGTTGCCCTGAGTTCCTGGTTGTCCTTGGGTTGGCACCGAACTAGGCTGGCTTTGAGTTGGGGCAGACTTAAGGCGATCGCGAGAATAGTCGCAAGGCCCAGGCCATGGAAGGCATGCACTGCACTTTGGCAGTTCCCTGGAGCACCTTTGTTTGTTAGTCTAGACTCAAAGATTTCATCTCTTCGGAACATGTTCCTAGCAATGAGTCGGACTAGTAATGGAAGTACCTGAACTTCTTCTGACGGCAATAATCACACTAGAAGATGTCGAATCTGTCAGTGAGGAGCCACCGATGACGATGGACCGGTATTTTGAAGGCTCACCGCAAAACGAGCCACCTGAGTGCCCTGCACAGGATTGTCACTTGAGTTCATCGTAATCGGTCTTGATAGGGAAACAGCTATGAACCCCGTAACAAGTAGGATTCATCCAACAAAAGTTGAAAGCGGAGAACGAGTCAGCTGATCAGTAATGGCAACCTCCTGATGAATTGTGGTGATGCTGACAAGTACGATGGAAGTGGTGAGGGATGATCGCCAACAGTGAACTCATTCCTCCGAACAAGGTATGATGCTGGCATTCCGATTTCAGCCAATCAGCGAGCAATATTTCGGACAATGGTTGCCTTAGTCAACCTTTGATGGGAATAATCCTCCGACACACCTCCGGGATCAACCAATCATATCGGGAGCGTCTGACACTGTTTGCTTTTAGCGCATCCAACCCGGAGAAATCACGATATCCGTGAGTAAAGCGAAGGCCCGACTAGGTAAACCAGTAGCTCAGCTCAGCTTGGATGCTGGATGGGAATATAGCTTGTGGCACTTGACAGAACGGAACAGTATAAGATGAAGAGAAACACCAGACTTCTCCGTCACTTGAGCTCGTGTTCTGCCGGAATCAAAGCGGACGCACTGCTCCTTCTAGCACATTTGAAACTAAGATCGTTCGCAATCCAATGCAATTTTATCGAACACGCTATATCGAAGTCATCACCAGTAAACACTAGACGGAATCCATGTATCAAGGCGACATATCACCAAAGAAGGGAAGGACGCCAAATACCCAAGATATGGCCCAAAGTTCAGCATCCATCGCAATTATTGGTGCTGGACCCTGCGGTTTGACGTTCGCCCGCTTACTGGAAAAGAACAACATCGACTTTGTGGTCTTCGAGAAAGACGTCGACTCAACTCCCACGCCGATGTACCAGGGTGGAACCCTTGATCTTCATGGCTCCTCCGGACAGCAGGCGCTAAGAAGTGCAGGACTCTTCGAGGAGTTCAGCAAATTCGCGCGGTGGGATGCTACCAAGTTTGTTGTTCAGGATCCAACGTGCACATTGAAAGCCGAGTTCGGTCAGGATCGCGACGCTCCTGAGATAGACCGTTTCCAATTGCGTCAACTTCTGCTGGACTCAATTCCATCTCATAAGGTGCGATGGGGGCATGGCGTCCGGACAATTGAGAAGGGCCCAGGCTCGGATTGGATTATCAAGTTCACGAACGGCACCTCTGCATCTGGATTCCAGCTCATCGTTGGCGCCGACGGTGCGTGGAGCAAAGTTAGGCCTTTGGTGAGTAACTCTTGCGTATGCCATATCGCTGTTATATCGGCTCTCTAACATCACATAGCTCACTACAGCACGGCCTGAATATTCTGGGAAGATGTTCATCGAGGGGCGGCTGTCGCACAACAACCCAAGTTACTCTGCCGCACTGGAACTGTCGGGAACCGGCAATATGATGGCGTTGGGAAACGGACGAACAGTCTCGGTGCAACAGGTGTCCGATCGGTCGTATCGAGTCTACGTGGGCTTGGTGGCCCCGGAGAACCTGACAAAGACCACACTCAATATGGCTGATACAGAGGCCACACGACAAAAGCTTCTTTCCTCGCCACAATTTTTTGCGGACTTTGCTCCCGAATTACAAAGCTTCATTTCCAACGCCGAAGGTCCTTTTCGGCCCTGGCCTCTTTACCGCATGCCCGTATCCTCCGTCAACTGGGATCGTGTTCCAGGTATAACTCTCCTTGGCGACGCCGCGCATGTGTCGACACCATTCGTAGGCGAAGGGGTTAATATGGCCATGTATGACGCTCTCAAGCTCGCTGAGAACATTGTCAAGCACGGGGTTGCTGCTCTCACTGAGAGAGCGCTGGCCATATCGAAAATCGAGGAAGCCGTCAAGGAATATGAAGCGGAAATGTTTGACCGCGCTCAAGACTTCATCAAGCGCTGCATCCTGAGTGAGGGGATATTTTTTGCTGAGGACGGGGCGCAGCAGTTCATCGACATAATTGGCCAGGCTGTCGAGTTTCAGCATCAAGGACTCTTTAGAGAAGAGAAGTGAGCTCGTGCTAGACATGTGCTGTGCTGGACAACTGATCAACGTTTGTCTGTATTTTGGGGTCTGGGTCAACGTGTTAGAGGTGACCCCAGATAGAACCAGTAACTTTTCTGCTCTTTTTCTGCCGCTACGAGAAATCTCAAGTGTCTTCATATCTTCCCGTCACAGTAGACTCTGACAGAGCTGGGCACACCGGTCCTCGCAGAAATTTTCCCAGAATAAAGTATGCTACGCTCGTCGAGAAACTTGAGAAATTTACTGAAGTCAAATCGAATCAACACAGGCAGCTTCCAAAGCTCCTAACGATAAGCGGGGACGCAGTTTCTGAAACTAGACTGCGTGAACAGGTGTGGCGTTCGCATGGGGGCGTGGAGTTTTCGGCCGAAATCTGTCCGGGACTGACTTCTTGGTAAGATCAAGCGCAGCAGCCAGCATGGTGGGCGGCAACCCTCGATAGTCGATTAAGGAACGAACATGGATTACGGATTGATGAAATGTCCGTCGGATAGATAGTCGCCCGATATTGATCTTGAACTGGTTCATGTTTATATAAAGACCATGCCCTTAAATCTGTTCACCCAAGAAGTGATTCAAGCAAACTCTATGTTCAGCCTAGATTAACTTCATTCAACTTTCGAAGAGCTAACGATGATCATGAGTACCATCGTCGTCGCAGGAGGAACTCGTGGGATTGGTCGAGCTATTGCTGAGGCTATCAATCGCAAGGGTGGCTACCGCGTCAAGATACTGAGCAGATCTGTAAGCTTTTACTACCTCCGGCTAAGCTTGGGGTATGGGTCAGATGCTAACTTGATTTAGGTCAATCCGGCCCTTCAACAGGAGACGGGCATTGAGGTCATTCCAGTGGACTACAACAGCGTCTCAGCGTTAACAAAGGTCTTCGACGACAACGAAGTCGACACAGTAATCTCGACCCTGTTCGTGACTTCAGATGGCTCTCCTCAGGTGAACATGATACGTGCTGCCGAAGCCTGCGTCCATACGAGGAGGTTTATTCCAAGCGTGTGGGGAATTCCCTACTCAAGAGAGTAAGTCATACATACCTATCTCCTTTTTTGCTACCACTCCCCTGAGAGAAACCCCGACCTTGAGGGCAGCATGTCTGACAAGGTCTTCTAGTCAAGTAACCGAGAGGCAGATGACTATTGGTCAATCAAAGCTCGATGGAGTGGAAGCCCTCAAAAACTCCTCTCTAGAGTACACCTTGTATTACGTCGGCTACTTCCTAGACTTTTGGGGATACCCACGCGTTAAATCATACCAGATACAAAACATCATCGTCGTCGATATCGAGAACAACAGGGCCGCCATTCCTGGCAAAGGTGATACCCCCGTTACCTTCACACATACCTTGGATGTTGCGGAATTTGTGGTAGCAAGCTTAGAGCTCCCCAAGTGGGAGAAGGAGAGTTATGTCATTGGCGAGAATGTGACGTGGAACGAATTTCTGCGAATTGCGGAAGAGGTTAAAGGTAAACAAGTCAGCAATCAATGCCGCTTTGTCATGATCATCTGAAATTGCTTACACACTCTTTCTTTAGGCGTCAAGTTTGAGGTTACCCATGACGATATCGACTTTCTCAAATCTGGCAAGATCACCGAGTTGCCATCTCATCCGTCCCTGTACAGCGTGATGCCCAAAGATCAACTTCAGGCACTTTTCGCCACTTTTGGTATCTGGTTTGAAGAAGGACTGTATCATCTCGAGCCCAAGAAAACTCTCAATCAGTTGTTTCCAGGTATCAAGGCGCGGACTGTGAAAGAAGTCATCCAGGCTGGATGGGGTCAGATGAACTGATGATGGCAGAGACTGGTGGTTTTCTTGTCATGCTTCGTATTTCTACTGAGTGGCCCAATGAACATGAAGAAGTTTAGAAGTGGACACTTGATACTGTGCGGGAATCGTGACTGCCTTATCAAAGCTGGAGGATCTACTCGTCTAAATCTTTTAACACAAGGCCTCGTAAAGTTTGTATAGACGTCAATGAGGATTGAATCGTGAAATACCTTATTTTCAAGCTTGTTGCACCCATTCCATGCCACCGAAGGGCCAGTCTAAGAAACATAGAGATTAGTGATACAGCCGAGACGCGGATGAATTTTTCACCATTCGGGTGATTAGTGATCATCAAGTTCTCGATGAGTGGAGCTAATTCAAGACGATTTTGGAATGAAAGGAAGAAGATGTATATCAGTGTCATGGGTTGGGAGAAAGGTCAATATTGATTGAACCTTTGCAGATAATCTGTGAGAATTCGAGTTATAGCAGCAGGCTTGGACTTAAAGGAATCGAAAGGAATTACAACTTTATCAACTTGAAGGGTGACTGTAGGATACACAATGTAATACAGTAGTATCGAGCCAAGTTATTCGTTCTCGATGACTACATGAGCTACCAAACTCTACAAATCCACTCAGCCAAACGTTGTCTCTTAGACCTTCTCCGTAAGTCAAACCCCCCACTTCCTGGCACCCCCCTGTTTCTGGCACCCACAAAAACGATGGGATCACAACCCAACCTCCTCATTACTATTAACTATTGATCCTCAACCACACCCACTACAATACAACTGCCAGCCTCACTAGGGCATTCAGAGTCGCTGGATTCAGCCGTAATAACCTCCTTTTCACCCGCTTCGATTTGAGCCCGATGGATATCCCTGATGTTCGCAAACTTCGTGTTGGGATCGATCTGAACAGTCTTCCTCTTCCTAACTGCAGCGTTGGTAACTTGAGCCTCAGGTGAGCCAGCTGCTGCTGGGCAACTGCCAGTTGCCAGGCCTGCTCTGTGAAGCCTTTTTCACCTTCCTGAACAGCAGCCGTTGAGTGCTGGTATCATTGTCGAGTTGGGTGTATAAGTGCAGTTGACCGCTGAGCTCTGCCAGCTTCCTGGGTGTCGACCAGACCACTGCAGAGGAAGCAGAATCCCATGGCTCAACAGGGTAGTTTGTTGACCATTATGGCATCGCTTTTGCCCCGACTGGTTGGTTTGGGTGTGGTGGGCTTAGCAGAAGCTCAGGTAATACCATAGGGTTCATCAGGGCTTAACCATCGCTACAGGGTGTAGACCAGTCCACTTCCAACCACTTCTGATGTTCGAGACTGATAGACCAGCAAGTCGAGCCTTCTGGTAACAGTCCAGGAAGTTCCTTTTACCTATAATGGTAGAGTCGTTCCATTGAGACAAGTAACCGAGCTCCTTCCGATAGGCTGACTTAACAGGGCTGAAGACAGACTGGTCAAGTGGCTGGAGGACATGAGGGAGTGTGGTGGTAAGAACAGTAAATGGATATTGTTAATATAGCAATTCCATGAAGTCTGTCGTCGTATGACTCCCATGCCCATCCACAATCAACAGTCGAGCCTCGCCCTCAGCCTCGGGCATAGTCTGTGGGATAAACACCTTCTCTAACCATTCAATGGCAGTTAAGTCTGTAGTCCAGCCATTATCTGTTGCTGTAAACTCCCACCCATCGTATGGAACCAGATGTAATGGAAACCACTGTTGTTGGACCGTCTTCCCTTGAAAATGATAAGAGGACGAAGTGCCCTACCCAAGGCTGAGATACACTCAATGATAGAGACCCATGCCCTCGACCCAGGTTGTTTCTTGCGAACAGACGTCGTCTCAGCCATGCCCAGCACTAACCCATTAGCCCTGACCCTCGAGGATGCCAGTCTCATCCATATTATATCTGTTGGCTGGTTTGATGTCCTTGATCTCAGGGATAGCAAGGAACTTAAACCAGTTCCTAATGACCTCAGTAGATGCCCCATTAACGCGTCTAGAATCGATGGAACGACTTCTCTGAACCTTAATGATAGGGTTCCTTCTCACGAAGGCATAGATCCAGCCTTTTCCTAATGGTTTGGTATCCCCAGCAGCAGCCAGAACTCGCTCTGCGAATTCCTTCACCTGTTGGTGCGTTGGTGCGAGGCCCAGCGAAGCCTGAATGCGAACCCATTGTGCCAGCTTACTCTCCTGGTCAGGAGACAGCCTCTGCCAGTCAGCAAAAGCCACTTTCCTAGTCTGACCACCTTGGAGACGTAGTTGGAGGGTTGATCGTGGTATCCCATACTCCAATGAGGCTCTCTTTTGACTCTTGCCGTTTGAGATGTCCTCGAGAGCCTGACGAAGCTGATCTTCGGTATATTGAGGCATTAGATATAGAAGAAGGTATGTGCAAAAAATGAGCCCATTTGGACTCGAATTGAAAATGTTGTGATAAAAGGAGGTTGGGGGTGGGCATTGCGTTGTGGTGGATTTTCGCGTTTTTGTGGGTGCCAGAAACAGGGGGGTGCCGGGAAGTGGGGGGTTTGACTTACCCTCCGCAAAACCAATCTCGACATGTTTAACGCCATCCTTTCCGATGGTTGTTGTCGTATCTATGGTCGGCCCGTCGAAAAGGAGAGCAATCTCTTCCAAAGAAGGGCCCTTGGTCTCTGGGTACACAAACCATAAGACGACAATCTCGATAAGAACCCAAGGGATGAAGATGGTGTAGAATTTCCAAGCCAATTTGTCAAGACCAATTGGGACAACGTAGGTCGAAATGAGAGAGAAGCATGTCGAGAACAGCTGGAAACAAGCTGTACCGCGCATACGGAGGCTGTAAGGAAGAATCTCGGTGATGTACAATACCAAGTTGCCATTGAGACCCAGGTTGTAGGCAGGAGAAAAGAGATACAGAAACGCAACGACCGCTCCACCAGCGGCCTTATTTGACTCGTTGTTTGCAAAGACGGCACTGCCAGCCGTGATGCAAACCAGGCAGACAAAGATGGCGGACAGGGAGCTGATGAACAATGTCTTGCGACCAAGCTTGCCAGGAAGTGTCGCAAAGTACAGCGCAGAAAGCCAAGAGAGGATCTGTTGGGTGGCATTGATGAGCGTCTGTTCCATGGAAGACTTTAACCCCACGGAAGATAGAATGCTGCTCAAGTAGTACGAGACGAAGGCGTTACCACTCATCTGGGCTATGCACGAAGTCCAGAGAATGATAAACAGTCGCTTGCGGTTTCCGGGCGTCCTGACGAGCTCGAGGTAATTCTGGATCCAGCTGCCTCGGTCGATTGTCCGCTCGTATGCGAGAGTGCTCTGGATTTCTTCGTATTCGAACTGGACAAGAGCGTCATGTTCGTCACCTTCGGCATGGTACTTGGCCAAGAAAGCCAACGTCTCCTCGTTGCGATCCTTGGAAGCGAGCCAACGCGGACTCTCCGGAACGAAATACAAACCCAGAAGCTGGATGATAGATGGAAGACCCTGGATGGCCGATGGAATGCGCCACGACCATGTCGAATCGATGCGAAAGCTCGCAAAGGTTGTCCATGCCGCCACAATGGCACCGAGAGAATATGAGGTGTTGAATAGCGCGGTTGCGGTGGCCCTGTGTGCCGGGTGGGCGATCTCTGTGATCAACGGGGCGCCTGAAGCTCCAAGAAATACGGTGCCGCATCCGAGGATACCACGAGCGACGACGAACATGGCGAGGTTCTGAGCTGAGGCTTGGACTGTGGAGCCGATGATGCACAGAGTTGCACCGCATGCCAGACCAATCTTACGACCGAATTTATCGCTGACGAAAGAGAGAAACGGGATAGCGCAGAGACCTCCGATGGGATAGGCAGCATTGAAGAGACCAAGCGTGGAACCTTTGGGTTCTCCAAAGTAGTTCCGCCAGTTCTCGACCGACTGTAGGCCATTCATCATGGAGCCGTCAAAACTAGACGTCTTTTGTAAGCATACGATGCAATTGAGGGCGCGATGCAGTGTACTCATACCCTTGGGTGAAGATTGACAGCATTGGGAATGCAAGAAGCAAATTCAGAGTACGAAGATTCTTGGACTTCCACCATTTTCTTGGGTCTACCGCGCCCTCTGGCATAGCGGTGACGAACGGAGCTTCGACATTGCTGCCGGGTCCCATGTTGATTCTACTGGATTATGAACGACTTTGTGAGTGTTGTAGGTTGTAGATTGTTTAATTCGAGTTGGCGAAAGCTGCAAAGGGCTTTAGAGATGTAATGAACGGGGGCCAATACAAGTGAGGTCAGCGCTTGAACAGGGTCTTATAGAAAAGTTAACCGGCAGTCATGGAAGCAAGCTACAAATCGTCGCGTGATGCTAAAGATTGAGCAGAATACCAATGAGGTGTTTCCCTCGGACATGCCCAGCGTAGCGCCCCTGCAAAGATTCTTGGGATCCGGGGTATGGGGTGATTCGCGGGGGGGACTGGGGGGCGTTCGGGATCCAGGCCGTCGAATATCGTGACCCGGTAGGTGACCGAGATGTTTGCTTAGTCTCAAAACTATTCTTCTCCAGCTCAAAGCTGGATTCTGGGGCTGGAACCCCGTTCAAAGAACAGACTCAGCCGCGGAATGCCGGAGTTGAGGCTCTCCAGAATACGCGGAGCGTGGAATAGGTGGAGCTCACGCGGAAAGCCGGGTCAATGCATTCATCTCATATCCGCTAACTTGGCTCGACCTCGCGCTAGCCTTCGGGTTTTCTCGATTCTGGCTCTAGCTTGACGACTTTATGAATCATGCAGGATTGCCTTGCCCCTGGACTTGGGTGAATTAACAAGTGGTAGACATGTGCTGCAATGGAATCTTGGTCACGGTCTTATGAGGCTGACGTGCAGTGGGTGAACGGCGAAATGCTTGTATGCTTAGTGTAACTTGATACGCTACTTTAGTTGCAAGTTGAACTTAAGATCACGACCAAAATGCTCCTCAACACCACTCGGAAGCTTCACGCTCACTCGAATCGGTTCTTCGACTGGAATGTCTTGTAGAACAACCGACAAACTCAGCTCATCAGTACCAACCTCTCGGGACCATCTGACACGAGCAATACCAGGCGCTAGTTCCCCACCAAGCGCCACCTTGGCGTCAAACTCGCTGAAGAGGTTGAACCGAGGAGCGCAAGAGATGGCTCGCCATCCAGGCTCGAGTGGTTTGATTCCGGCTACCTCGGTCGTGAACTCGTAGAGGGGCACCGCGCTCCACGCATGACAGTCGGATCTGAGCGTCACCTCATCCTCGCACCAAGTTGTGAGGTTCTGTCTCAGCTGATACCGCCAGGGATCCCAGAAAGAGTGGAAAGTCTTGTCGTAGAGGTCTCCGCCAACTTCGGACAAGGCCCGGAGAGCGTAGAATGACATCGCCGTGGAAACTTTGGTGAACGTGACGGGTTGTCCCGACGCGGTGAGGAGTTTCGATGCAACCGGGCCGTGATCGAAGCAATATGTGAGGAGTTGTCTCGCCTCCTCACCACCGGTCGCGCCACAAAGAACAGCCCAGATCTGATTATGTTGACTAAAGTCCAGCGAATGGTCAGCTATGGCTGCTACTCCATCCGTAAAGACTGCCCCCACGCGGCAGTGCTTCTGTGTGGCCAAAATAATATCGTCTGCTCGTGACCTATACTCTTGGGCGAGGGCCGGCCGACCGAGGTCCTTGACAGTTTCTGCAATGGTCTTGAGCGTGTAGGCGTATAGAAAGTTGGTAAACGTCTGAGTGCCCGTCCTCTCGGCAGCCGGCGGTATACCCATAGGTCTCCATTGTGTTGTCCAGTCGACAAAGTCCCAATGCGTTCTGACTGACTGGCAGTCACTTGATATGAGTCCAGTTTCGGCATTCAAGCGCTGCGCGAAGGACGAAAGTATACCGTCGCATACTGCCAGAAATTTTCGAGTGAAGTCTCCGTCGCCGTAATGTGTGAAGTGATCAGCTACCGTACAGATCCAGAAGAGCGAGAAGTGAGGGATCACTTGAAAGACATGAGCAGGACTGCGACTTGCGATGAGCCCGATACTCGGACGATAGGAGTTGTAAAGTTGAATGATAGCTTGTCGAGCCATTCGATCGTCACCTGACAGGACGTACGTGAACAGACAGGAACTGCGAACATCCATGGCGTACTGCAGCTGCTCATAAAAGGGACAGTCCTCGTAGCAGTCGTGCATACAGTTGGTCAACGTGCGTGCGCTGTTCTCCCAGAGTCGCTGATAAGTCTTCTGGTGGTCATCGGTCGACACAAGGGTGAGTCCGCTCTTGATGTCCAAAGGATAATGCACCTGGTCGAGAACAATTCCTACAAATTCCAGATCGCTCCCTTGGTCTACCTGGATGTCGATAGACATGAAGCGCAAAGTTCGGAAGTGAAAAGGCGAGAAGGCCTCAAATTCCGCCGCATCTAAACTGTAGGCGATCTCGGAGCTGGCGTGAGCCCCTGAAGAGCCGGCAAAGATGTATTTGTCTTCAGGCCCGAACAGGGACTTGGTCGTGTCTCTCCTATCGCCCTTGCGGCGAATGTAGGGAACGTACTCTGGTTCCTCTTCATATGCCTCAGAATAACGAACTCGTAAGGTTGATCCCGAGGTTTGGGGTCGTCTGAAACGAAACGCGAGCATTGCCGTCAAGTGAATTTCTGCCTCAACCTCGATGTGGTGATGTGTGCCCGCGGGCAGTCGGAGCGTGCCCGCACCATCTTTGAGGAAGCTCTCCCACGAGGCCTGGCTGATAGAACTTTTGATATTGTGAACAGCTGCAAGTACTTGGGAGGTAGTCGTTGGCTTTGGTATCATTCGCGGCGAGAGCACCCACGGCGGAGTGATGCCATGTGATGTTGGCAGTTCTAATTGCTTCGCCGAAACCCAATCGAGCCCCGACGCTTTCCTTGCGTCCACGTCTTCGTAAATGTGGAGGAAATCGTCTTCTTTCTGGTCGATGCGGAGCACCGTGGCACGGTCTATAGCGGCTTTCCAAGAGCTATCACTGCGGACAGGCAATATGACCCCATCATTTGCCGCCAAGGATCGAACAAAAAGTCCGGGAATGGGTAGTCGTGGGAAACTTGTGGCGTACTGCGTGGCGTGAAAGAAGCGCAGGACCCTGACTGAAATACGATTCACCCCGGCCTTCAAGAATGGTTTAATGTCGATCTCGTCATAGAACCAGAGATGTTCATCCCCTTTGACGGGGCCGGAAAAGACGTGTTGACCGTTGATGAATAGCTTGTATCTCGTGTCCGCTGTAATCTGGATTCTCGACGGCCCATGCGGAACTTCTTCCAGCTTCAGGCTCTTGCGGAAGTGGACGATGCCACCAGCAGTGTTTTCGCCGTGGTCTTGCCAGTGGGGATGCCAGATCCAGGGCGTGCTGAGCAATTCGGGATCCATAATATCAAGATGGTCTGCTGTAGTCTTGCCGTTGGTACTTGTGATTGAGAGTGAGCTGAGAGTCTAGGGAGTCATTCCAGTGGACGACCTAGAGAAAGTTGAGGGGTTCTGCACTTATTTGAATCGCGAAACTTAGTATCTTATAGAAGGGCGGGGGGGTTAAATACACCGTGCCATCCACCAGCTCGGTGGCCTCTTGAGCGAGCTTCCATGTTGATCGGACACATTGACCAATTTCTCCCCAACACGCCACGGAAGAAGAACACACCACGATTCTGCCTCATGCGAGAAGGTACCATTTTCCACATGTATTTGGGATCTACAAATCTACTTGTTCAATTCTGAATCGATTTTATTGTCTATCGTGTAGCGTATAAGGAGTTTTTCGATATTCAAATACCTGACCACCAGCTGGTCTTCTCAACCTTCACCGTGGCCGCAAGAGGCGTCTCAAGGCTGCTGGTCCCAACAAGGATGTCATAGTTTCCAGCCTCCAACCCCCACTGCTTTCGCGGTTCGTCCCAATAGCTGAGAGCATATTTCTTGCTCAGGACGACTTCTACCTGAGTGGACTGTCCCGCCTTAGCATATGTCTTAGAAAATCCCTTAAGCTCCTTTTTGGGGCGTGTAATTGATGGGTGTTGGGGCGAAACGTAAACCTGCACAACTTCGGAACCATCAACCTTTCCAGTGTTGTTCAACCCGACTCGCACCATAATCTTCTCGTCACCGTCCTTGACTCCATGAGAAACCTGGAGGCCGTCAACGCTGAAGGTCGTGTAAGACAGTCCCCATCCAAAGGGATAGAGAACAGATCTCTTGACTGCCTCGTAGTAGCGATACCCAATAAAGACGTCCTCGCCGTAAAGGACTCGCCCTTGATCCGACCGGTAGTTGAGGAAAGCCGGGTTGTCCTCAACTCTGACCGGGAACGATAGGGGCAACTTGCCCGATGGGTTGACGTTTCCAAATAAGACATCCGCAATGGAGTTACCCGTCTCGTTTCCACCGTACCATGCTTGGATAATTGCCGATACAGAATCAGCCCATGGCATAGTCACGGGCGTTCCTGACTGGACCACGACTGTGGTGGATAGATTGGCAGCAGCAACAGCGGAAACTAAGTCATCTGTTCTTCCAGGCAAGTCCATGTGCGGGCGGTCATGGCCCTCTTGCTCAAAATCCGCATTGAGACCGACACAAATGACGACCTGGTCCACCGACTTTGCGAGCTCTGCCGCGCGGCGAATCTCCTCATCTGCGTCACGAACTTCGACACCACCGATGCGAACGCCGCCGCCGCCAAAAGACACCACACCATCGACGTCTTTGACCTTAGAAGCTGCGCCACTGGCGAATTTGACCGTGATATTGTACGTCTGCCCAGCGACTAGTGCCTTGGTGCCCGTTTCCTCCACGGTGCCGACATTGAAGAAGCTCCCACCACCTCTTTGGGCAGTCTCGTTGTCGATCGCGAGCTCACCGTCAATATAAAGATTGGCAGTTCCGTGGACAGTGAGACCGAACTCGAAATCGCCCGTCTCTTCAGCAGTGAAGGAGGCCTCAATCTCTCCCCACCATAGGTCTTCTGTTATCTCGGGGTGGTAGTAATCGGCAAAGTACAAGTTCGTATCGACTAGATGCAGCGTATCAACTGGTTGACGATCGCTGTCAGTTTCAGGTGCGGTGTAAGCCCTGAAGGTGACTCCAGCCTGGCCGTCTGCGGTTTTCAATCGCGGGCCAAGAATCGGCAGCATCTTGTGAGCATAACACCCGACAGAGTACACTACATCCTTTGCTTGCTCGTAAATAGCATCGAAGGGCGTGACTGCGTAGTAAGGCCTCAAAGTGGCCGATCCACCACCACAGTAGACCGCTGCTTTGGCATTTGGTCCGATAACGAGAACCTGCCAAGTATTAGAGAGCTTGAAACTATCAAGAGCAAGCCGGTGATAAACTTACAGTTTTTTCTTTGCTGAAAGGCAGAGTAGAGTTCTCGTTTCTCAGCAGTACGATTGAGTCTCCCGCAATCTTTCGAAGGAGAGCTGAGGTCTCTGGAAGATCTCGGCCGTTCTCCTCTGCTCCTTCAGGGATCCCCGTCAATGCTGCACGGCGAACGGCTTTCAGGACAGCGCGGACCCTTTCATCGACGGTCTCGGGAAGGAGTCTCCTGGATGCCAGAGCGTGCTTCACCAGCTGGCCGCGCCAACGCGTGGGTCCAGGCATCTCCAGGTCGAGACCAGCTTCGATGGCTTCGATTGTGGAGTATGTGCCATACCTTTGGCGGTGTAATCAGTTCGCAGCCACTCTTCCATTGGTAGATTCCGAGTACTCACCAGTCGCTCATGATGAGGCCTTCCCATTCCCATTGATCACGCAAAATGCTCTGCAGGATAGTGGCGTCTTCACTCACATGGAGTCCATTGACCTTATTGTAAGCCGTCATGAAGGACGCTGGGTTGGCATCTCGCACAGCAATCTGGAAAGGTAGCAGGTAGATTTCTCGAAGAGCCCTGTCTGTGATGCGAGAATCGACGGCCATTCGCTCGTGCTCCTGGTCATTTCCCACAAAGTGCTTGATAGCAGCCTGGACTCCTGTGCTCTGAATGCCGGCGACAACTGCAGCGGCACTTTGGCCTGCAAGAACTGGATCTTCTGAGAACGATTCAAATCCTCTGCCTCCCAGTGGACTTCTTTGCATGTTGACCGTGGGACCCAGGAGAATGTGCGCCCCCTTTGCTCTTGCTTCAAGACCCATGAGCGTTCCGGCTTCCCGGAGCAGACCGGCATCCCAAGTTGCTGCTAGACCAGTGCCGCAGGGGAAGCAAGCTGCCGGCACACCGTTGAAAAATCGTGTACCTCGGACTCCATTGGGACCATCAGAGAGTCTGATTGAGGGGACCCCAAGACGGGGAATGCTCTTGGTGTGCCAGAAGTCAATACCTGCAGGTATGGTCAGCAAAGTTCCTGATTCCCCTTCTCCTCGAGATTCCATGAGCTCATACCAGCAAGTAGATCAATCTTTTCCTGAACGGTCAATTTCTCCAAGACATCTTCTACGTCGAAAATGGCTACTTCTTTTGGTATATAGGAGATAGTCATGATCGAGGTTGTCAATAGTGTTGGCGCTTTTCCGTATAATAGACTTCTATGCACAGAATTCTCACGAAATGGCAAGGTAGCGAATAATAATTAGTCCGTGTGCATCGGGTGACTACCTACCCATTGCGACTTACACGCACCATTGTGCATGGCTGTTTTTAAACACGCATTCGAAGTTGCAATCTACAGTGACTAGCGTATTCCCCAATAATATTTCGGTCATATTTCCGTAGTCTCCTGCATCCAGGGCTGAGTTGATGTTGAGTAATCTTGCATCACGGAGAGTTGATCCCCCGAAAAGGCTGATTGATTCCGGCTTTCCGCGGAACGAACCAAAAGCTTGGGCTGGTAGCAAATCCACTGTGACCGTGCAGCACTCCTCTTCATTTCTCGCGCATTGTGATCCTGCACTCCGCGAACGTACTGGCCATCGTCGACCATGTCCAATTCACACGCAGAAACCCGTGCCAGCTCTCGCAAGAGACCTGCGTATCCACGGAAACGAGCTGTTCAGGCCTGTCTGACATGTCGTCAGCGACGGACGAAGTGTGACAATGAAAAGCCAGCCTGCAATTCTTGCAAGAAGCTGGGGATAGATTGCGTCTACCATGAATTCGAAAAGGCTAGGTGTGTGCTCTTCCCTGCCCTCTTGATGTTCTCCCCGGCTTTTGTCCCGTCCATGTGCAGCAATTTCTTTCTCGTATGCACGTTTCCGCTCTACATCTGTTCTGGGCCAACAAGACTATGATTGCAGTTTCGATGCAGCCAGTCTCGCCATCTTACGAAGATTAGATGAATTGGAAAGCGTGGTAAAAGGCAGCCGTCCGCTACCTGCTGCTCCTCAGCCGTGCTTAGACTTTGCTTCATCGCTTTCTTCGTCGCCATTTCCAACCACCGATATCGATTGGATCAACTCCTTCGAGGTCCGTTACGTCAATCGCGAAGTAATATTCAACTGGCCAGTCTGGAAAGCCGCCGACCTACACCCTTCATCGCAAGATTCGCCTCCGGCTATCTTTCCGGGGATCGACTCGGTGTCACGCCCTCTTCTCGTATCAGACGTGGACGTTCAGGACGCTTCCAGACTCCTCGGCATTTTCTTGTCTATTTACCACATATTCAATCCAGTTTTGGATATACCGACAATTGAAGAACATGCCAAGAGCACATCTCTCAATGGGTTCGGTTGGGATGCTGGGTCATGTCTTGTCGTAAGCCGTCCTTCGTCATCGTATACTTCTGCTATCCATTAACGGATGTCTGACAAATTTCCAGCTGCTCGTACTGGCCCTGGGAACGACGGTAGACCATAATAACATCCCTACACATACATCTTTGTCCGCCCGACAGAACGAAAACTTCAGCCGTGCCGAAGCGTACTTTGTTGCAGCGCAGAGGCGGATGGGTTTGTTGCTGTCTAGTAGCGGCATTGCAGAAGCCCAATGCTTCTTCTTGGCCGGCGTGTATTTGATGACTACGATGCGACCGGCTGATGCCTGGAAAATGTTTACGCGGGCTTTGTCGAGCTGTCACACCTTCCAACTGTCTTGTCGCGATGCCAGCCCTGGAGCTATACGCTTGCAGCAGACCATCCATTGGGCATGCTTCAAGTCTGAGCTGTAAGTCTTCTTACTCCCGTTTCCAGGCGACATACTGAGTGACAAACAGCGAGGTGCGGTTGGAGTTGGGGATTATCAAGACGAGTGCATGGGATCTACGCTACCCAGACCTCTTTCCCGACCCTCCAGAGTCCATACAATCTCAAGGAGAGCCTGCCTGGTATTTTTACCTAGCTGAAATAGCACTGAGGCGACTTAACAACCGCATACTATCGGCTACATGTTTGGATAGTCAGGAAACTGGCAATGTTGCGGATAAGGTGACGATGACCTTAGAGTTCGAGCGGCAAGCTCACAGCTGGTAAGCATTCGTGTTCCGACCTTGGTGCCCCTTGCAGAACTAACATGGTGTCTTTGCTCCATAGGGCCAGGTCTCTTCCACCGAGTCTGCGGCCGGCGATAGACGATTCCAGCGACGTTACTTTCGATTTTAACGAGAACGGCCAGCTAAGATTTATCCTCAGTGGCCATCTGATAGACTGCTTGGAACTGATGTACTGGCCTTTTATCTACGCCGCTGTGCATGGCCGACTCGGAGACGACAGAGACTCTCATATGCTGGCTTCACGAGGTCTCGACTTTTGCGTGCGGAGAATAAACATCAACAAGACAGGATTTTTCCATCGACATCATGGGACGTGGTTGATGCTGCAGTCATGCACTCGGAGCGCGCTTGTCTTGATCGCTGCGGCGAATGGAGGGCTGCATGACAAGCTTCCACACGACTGGAGAGCTAGTGTCGAGGACGTAGTGAACCTCTTGAAATATTGGGTTGATGAAGTACCTGACTTCAGGAGGATGATTGAGATTCTTGCTAGCCATGAGTAAGGTAGCAAACCTGGTATTTCACTATAGCCTCTTAGTCAACTAAGTACACATCGAGGATTCTTCGGGTCGAGGCTTCTCATGTCCTATTTCTGTAGTCTATCGATGCAGACTTCCAGCTCTTTGTCTGGCAACTCCATGCTTCCCTTGGCTGGCTCTCCTCTCGGGTCCCCAATCTTCTTCAAGAGAACCTCCAGGTAGTCTGGGCTTGCCTCCCAAACTTGCTAGTACCATCTTGTTTGTAGCCGTGAAGTCATCCAGTATCTGTAACTCTTTTCGAGAAAACCATCTCGGTACCAGCAAGACTCTCATCGGGATGAGCAAGATGATCAGCACCGGGAAACCGATGGCGCCCAGCGTATGAGAGATAGCAACGCAAGTTATAACAGATAGGAATTGTATGGCTATGTATAGCCAGACCTTTCGGCGGCGAACCTGGAGAAGTAATTCGTCTCGTTGTATAAAGCGTTCTTCTGCTTGAAGATAGAGGAATTTCTGGAGGATGCTGTTCGATTCGATTGAGCCCCACTGGAAGATTGTGTTTATCAGTCAACGATCCGTTCACACCAAGGACCCGACTCCATAACTTACACCAACGACAAAGAAGACGCCGGCAAAGACAGCAGCTGGCATGGTATGGATCGCCACCAGAAGGGGACCCGTCATGGTGCCTATCAGAGCGAGGCCCATCAACAAGTGAGAAATCCTCTGCTCGACCACTTGTGTAGCAACAACAACAGACCGCCTGATTTCTGTATCTTCTCCTTCAGAAGTAGATATGATTCTAAGCTTGGTCTCGTAGACTGTCAAGGAATCGGTATGGACTGGGGCCTGAGGGACGAGGCCATTAGGCATCGGCAAGCCTAAGACGCCTGCGATGAACGTCGTGCAGCCAAGCAGAAAAAAGTCCCAGTGGAAGCCTCCTGGTTTCTTCAAGGGATAATGGCGTGCTTGAGCGGTAATACTGCTGACATTCTGGGAAGATTTAGCCACTTCTCTCGAATACACATGTACCCCGAAAGTGAAAGAAACACTTACATGATCGTAGTAGAAAAGCAGCATCACTAAAAACCCAAAAGGCATAGCTACAAAAACCCACTTTGCATCAAGGTTCCAAAAGTCAATCATCCAGCTCCTAGCCTGCGTCGGTTTGAAGGCGTCGACAACAGGAACCCTCATGATATGCGTTGCTTTGAGAGTTCCCGGGATGTGCGAGAAACCAACCCAAAAGATGGTGGCGAACTACCACAACTGTCAATATCCGTTCCTATTTGTTGGCAGCAAGTAGGAATCTGACGCACCACATAGGCGTAGTCGGCTAGGATTCCTCGGTAACCGGACGTCCAAAGAGTGCTGGAGCCCATCTTCTCCAAAGTGTAGACAGTGCCGAAGTATAGACTCGAAATCATACAAGCTAAGTAACCCGCAGCGCTCTCTTCAGCATCGAACTCATTCACCAATTCTTCCACACCCTTGACTGTATCTTTGTCAGCAGGACGTTCTGCAACTGTTAGTTTAAGTTGAGCCCACAGACTGATGTAGATGATGCCAACGTATAGCCCAAATGCCTCGCTAGAAAAGTCGGTAACATATCGCATGTAGTCACACGCGTTGAACACGGCGACGAGCCAGTGGAAAATTGCTGCCCATATTCCCGTCCAAGCCATGAACTGTGGGTAGATGGTGACGTCGTAGATCTTGATGATGTCGTAGATTGTAAAGTTGAAGAGCGAGATCAGACCGGTGACGCCAACAATCGTCAAGGGCTGGGCGCTGAAGATGCTGAAGACAACGGCAGCGAGCGCGGACGATAAAAGGGCTTCGTTGATACCAAAGAATTGTCCTGTTCGTCGGTACATGTCGAGGGTGTAGGCTATCGCAGGGAGGAGACTTAAGGCATTCATTTAGTTGTCAGCACATATTTTGGCAAATGTTTGAACTGTAATACTGATAAGTATGCCTACTGACTTGACGAAGTACATGCGAATAGTACTGGCCACTGTGCGGTACGTCCACGCGTCAAAGATGTCGCTCCAGTAGTATGGAAGGCGCCTTCTGATGTCGTGGTAAATTCCACGGCCTGGACTGAAGATTCTCCATCGCCTCCAGCCTTTTTGGCCATCGTAGGTGTACGATGTGCCCGTCTTTTCCCTCTTTAAACGCATCTCGCCGGAAGTGCTGGACTCTGGGTCGCCCGACATAATGTTGAGACGGGTGTGAAAGCGAGGGATTATGGTTCAGAGAAAGGGGTGCGTAAAGGAATGGGAATGAGATGGAATAAGAGACTTCTGTATGCTGACCTAGAAAAGAGTTTGGACCAAGCGAGACCAAGTGTGGCCATATATAGAAAATTTCTCTGGGAACTGGACAAGACATGACTCCTTAGTTCCCGGTTGATTCCTTGGGCCTACCTACTTGTTTCATTGTGGAATTAAAGAGATCGGAAGGTTGGCTCTTGGCCGGCCGGTCTCGCTCCAGTACGTCACGTAAGTAGACAGCACCGGGATGACACACTGAAAAGCCTGCCGCCGCCATGTACGTTTTTTAGATATCCTCTAGGTGCGAGTAGCATGTTGGACCGCTTCTTGGCACGGTTCTATTTCGCCAGCGAGAGATGGAGAAGCCGAAGAGGCGAGTCCCTGCAACAGCATCTGGTCAGTCATATACCTTGGCCTCTACTGACATTTGACTGCACATTGTCGGCAAGATGTTCCACATGCCGAGGGAGGCTCTTCTTGCGAAAGTGCAGACACAGCGTCATGATAGTTGACATGGCTGTCGCGGCCTCGTCCGGCTTCCTACATCATAGCCATCTAATGACCCGGTCTTCACTGGGTTGTTGACAGCCAATGTTCCATCAGGCATCAGCCTAGCAAGGTTAGTGCGGAGGTTCACGACAGGAAATTCTGCCCAGGCAGAAAATCAGGGTCAAGTCGCGCTCATCCCTTGTTCCCACCATATGTCCCCTCGTTCTGTGGACTTTCTCACCTCCCACACTACTTCTCTCCGCGTGACAGAGCCGCTCTCGATTAGTAGACCACAGTTCTTTGCTTCGGATTAGAATGATGCTCCTCAAATTTCTTACTGTTAGTAAACGTAAGCAGGTTGATTCGCAAATCGCCATCAGGAGTATCCTTGAGCTTGTCCGAAGATATGTTCGACACTGAAGATTCGCATGGGCAGAAATACCAAAGTGCACTATCTGCATCCTATCGTTCCCGAATCCTGCAGTCGTCATCTTTGGTGCGATAGGTCACTTCGCACGTCCAGGTCATGATGATCTTATCTGACATACCTCGAAGCTTGATATTCTATCCAGGACACGTGCATGTAAACAGACGTCGGAATAGTCTATAGATGTGGCGGATGGTGCTAAACCAGGTCCTCCATCCCCGTACTCTTGCATTGACCAGGTCTATGTACCAATCTATCTACGCCTGCTTTGCCCGAAAATCATCGCAAGGAATGCAACCACTCTGTAGATAGTTCCAATACCAACCAAAACTCCCATGTTGCGCCATAACCAATTCAAATGGAAGCCAGTCGCCGCTGCAGCAGAGTCGACATCATACAAATAAGCAAAAGGCGAGACTAGCTGGCCAAAGTAGATCTCTGCTAACCAGACACCGGGCGAGGCGCGCCAGAGCCATTCCAGGTGCCACTCCTTGACTTTAGCAAGTGGAGGAGCAGCCCCAGACAAGATTGCAACAATAAGACTAATCATTGTCGCAAACAGGGGGGCATCTTCTCGCCGGACAAGCATGCTGACGATACTGGCCAGCCCGTAGATACAGTAAAAGTAGAAGAAGTTCGTGAGGAAAGCAAGCCCCCAGTTGATCACGGGTACCGTGAGAATGAATAGGAATGTTGTGAAATGGAGACATCCAAAGAGCATACGGGGAAGGACCGAGACGACCTTAGCAAGAAAGTATGCTAGTCTGTTGTGTCCCGCCTCGGCCTCCCTGCGATGCACGAGCAGTTCTTCTGAGAAAGTCTTCACACCAGGTGCACCAGACACTAGACCCACAGCAATGGAGACCAATAAGGCGAGTTCAGGGGCGGACTTGAAGTCCACAGCAGTTGACAAGATCGAGTACGGCTCTTTGAAAGTGCCCGTAAACAAGATGCCTTTTTTCGAATGCTCGGCAAGGCCCAGGAGAAATCCAGCGAGCGCCGCGAGACCCATCTCAGCCCAGAAAGCTGCTTTGGTGCGGTACTGCTGAAGCATGGCCCGGCGGAGGCAGAGCCACGCCTGTCTGTACAGCGGTGCACCGCGATGTTTGATGGCGGCGTACATGCCGTGATTGCTCATGATGGAGGAAACATGACGTTCCTTCGGCGCGAGAGACTGGTGGTGGTCTGACCACTTCGAAATGAGCGAGTCCTTGGAGATCTCCCCCATTTGCTTGTAATCGCGACCGTTTCCAGTAATGATATCGGTGACCACGTCGCCGTGATTACTGTGTTTCGGAAACCCGAAGCCGAGCCCCTCAAAATAGTCCTGCACTTCAGCTTGGGGGCCTTCGTAGATAGTCTGTCCATTGCCGAGGAGAATAAGGTTGTCGAAATTCTCAAAGATTTCGGTACGTGGTTGGTGGATGATGACAATAACGGTGATTCCCAGCCGCGCAACTGCCTTCAAAGTGCGCATCAAAGATGAAGCTGCAGTTGCATCGAGACCACTCGTCGGCTCATCCAAGAAGATTGCCATCGGGGCTGACGCCAGTTCCATACCGATACTGACACGTTTGCGTTGCCCACCACTAATGACAGGTACAGCGACTGAACCGACCAAGGAGTTGCGTACGTGTGAGAGTTCCAAGCAGTCAATGACAGAATCGACATGAGATTCAATGTCAGCCGTTGACCAAGTCTGAGGCAAGCGGATCTTTGCGCTATGGACAATGTTCTCGTATACCGTGAGCTCCGGCAGCACGATGTCGTCTTGAGGCACGTAACCAATCACCTTCTTGTACCGCTTCAACTTGTCTGGACTGCTGTTCACAGCTACTGTGCCTCCGGTGTTCTTGGTTTTACCCATGAGTACGTTGACAAACGTCGACTTGCCGGCACCGGATCCGCCCATGACAGCCGTCAAAGTGCCCCGGTCGATGGATCCCGTAACGTTTTGAAGAATCATCTTGGAGCTTTTCTTAGGGTGGAAACTGAGGTCAGAGTAGCTGAAGGAGAGACCAAGATTGGTTGCATCAGTCGCACGCCTCATCGAAGACACAAACGCCATCAACTGAGGATTGAGCATCTCGCTTGTTGGCCGTACATTGACTGAGTATTCGGAACCGAGGTCAAGGGCGGCTTGAAACCCTCCTCCATAGGAATCGGTCCGGTTGGGGACGTAGGTAGCGCTCATCGGGAGCATCTCGCGGTCTGCATCTTCCGAAAGTGCCCTGTAGCCCGTGATCTGAGCTTTCATGCTGCTCATGCCACGCTTCAAAGTTGGTCTTCGGCTCTTATTTGATTGATGATCGCGAAGGCGCTTTCGGAATCTGTAGGTAACCATGCCGGCGATCATCAGAACATCGACAATGATCAAGATGACGAGAGGGATGAGGAATAGCTCGTAGGATGAACCTGCCGGGCAACGGCTGCCAACCGAACATGGTGTTGGGGTTGCGGCCCCAGGCTGGCAATATGAGCCAGCTGGACAGACGATAGAAACCTTGCCATTATCCTCTTCTGGGCAGTAGTTCCCAGCTTGACAAACAACCGGCTCAAAAGGGCCCATGCCAGCGTTCTTGCCGCCAAAACTACAGGTGAACGATGCTAACCTGGCCATTTGACATGCGTCTAGCGGTGGACAGTACTGAGGTATTGAGTTGACGGTATTGTTCTCACCTAGATCCAAGTTAGCAAATACTGTTCCTTCAGACGCACACTTGCGAGCTTTTTTTTTTTGTTTTTCTTTTTTGAGACTTTTACTCACATAGAAAACCCGGGCTACACCCATTAGCCTGCCAACTCTCCACAGTCTGAATCTCTATAGGAACTGCCCCTTGTCTGTAACACGGCGCAGCACTATATGGCTGCTGGCCTGCATTGATCTGTGCCGTTGCTTCGTAGAACGAGGTCGAGAATCTGGTATTGTTCTTGCCGGTGCAAGCACTGTCGTAAACACTAAGCCCGTCGCTGCCAGGCGAGTCTCGCAATGCTCCAGAGAGCCACCTTTTGGGCTTCTCAATGTCTGGCGGATTCGACGCATCGTTTATAGGTCCATTGGAATTACCGATCCCGTTGAGTGTGTTGAACCATCTGCCGGTTCTGATTGTGTAGATGCTTCCCTTGCTTTGGTCTCCGATGCATTGCCAAGCTGGTTCCGGGGCTCCGCCGGCAGGTGTCACCTGTAAAGCACAGAGACATCCTTCTGTATCAAGGAAACTAGGGCCTGTTGGGTCTGTCTGGGGATAGTATGGGTCCTGCGGTAAATCCGAGGTGTCGAGTCCGAAAGTCTTGCGGCTCATGTTGACAATGGAAAGCTTGGCTCGACTTTCTGTTGACGGCTCGTTTCCAGATCCCAAAAGTCGAAACCGTTGCGAAGTTGCAGCTATTTCATTCTTGAAGAAGCTTTCGTTGTCTCTTGGCAGGCAGACATGGTACCAAAACACGGAGCAATAATTCATTTTCCCATCAGATTTTAGCGTGATCCTTCTGGCTCACAGCGCACAGCTCACAAGGGACGAGCCCACGCAAAAATACTTAGTATTACCTAGCTAGGGAAACTCGGACGAGGCGAAGCTGCAGACCAATTGCTGACGCTCCACATACGAGTGCCGCGCCTTGTACCATGGCAAATGAGTGAAACCAATCCGTCATTGTGTCTTGAACTGTTGGAGATCCACGCACTGGCGGCCCGCAGCATCGGGCGAGATAAACGGCGTCGTGGCGCGGTCGAACCCACAATGCCAATGCTTGTTCCACGAACTTTTGCTGCCTAAAGATGATGGGCATACTGGACGGTGTCCAATCTTGATTTGGGTACAGCGTGAACATAGCGTAGATCCTCGGCTGACATCAACTCACTTCCTCAGATCCGTTGCCTTTCGTAGGGCCAGCATGCAGAGCCCCGAATGAATTGGCACTGACAAAGAAGCTTTTATATGATCCACGGTGATTGCGATCGGCTGGTTCCAGCGTGATCTCACGACGCGTCTCGACCTAACAACATTATGATGAACGATCGGATTCTGGTAGCCAAAGGTGAATGACAACAGTAAACTATGTTTCTCAATTGAGTTTGCTGAGGTTTATCCTTGGCACATCCTATTGTTCCTATTTGCGCCTAAGTTCAACTCAAGCAATGACACCTCATCCTCTGCGGGTAACTTCAATAACATGTTACTTGACTTAATATGGGTAAGGTAAGGTACGTACATTATCTAATCCTGTATAATGCTATGGAAGCAGTGTATGATGGGTTGATCGGAGCCCCTCCCTTTTATATTCTTATGCTGACAAGTTGATCTGGAGCTAATGGAGAGAGACATGTAAGGATGGTTGTGCTGAGTCCGGACGGTATCCTGCCGCAACTACCGGGATAGTCACTGTTCTCCTGGCTTGGACGTCAATTGAATCAACAGTAACGCAGTTATTCATATCTTGATGTTGTAGAACTAGATCATGGTACTTTATTGTAAACGTCCACCATTCTATCATGTACATGCACAAGTGATGAAGAAGAATGAAAAGAATGTGTCACTACTTGTGCCGGCTTAGACGCCCTGCTTGATGATTGCCGCTGCCTGTTGATAGGAAATTATGTCAGTAAAGTAGGCAATTAGGCTAGAGAAACAGAAAAGCAAGAGGCGCAGACTCACCTTCTCGGCAAGAGCATAAGTGGGCTGGCAGGTGTTGGCGCTAGGAACCATGGGCATGACACTGGCATCAACGACTCTCAGGTTCTTCACTCCGTATACCCGCAATGTCTGGTCGACAACACCACCCAGGTTAAGTGGCATCATAGATGCAGTACCGACGGGGTGGTAGTCAGTGGGTGACATGGCACCGGCAATGTAAGCCTTGAGATCCTCGTCCGAGGTGACATCAGGACCCGGGGCGTACTCGACCGGATCGAATTGCGTGGCCAGGGAGGTGTTAAAGTTGTAGCGGCGAAGGAACTTGATCGACTCAACGAAGAAATCGGCCTCGAGAGGGTTGGACAGAGCGCGGTAATCAATCACGGGTTCAGTGTTCCACGGGTCGGTCGTGTTGATGTTGATGGTGCCACGGCTGAAGGACTGCATTGCGACAGGGCCCTGAGACCCATGGTCTGCAATGAGCTGCATGCGAGTGAATGCCGTGTCCTTGGAGCGCATCTGAGCGGCCAGGATCTTCATCTGCGCCTCGAAGCCAGCGACGACTGTGGACGCAGCATCCGTCGGCAGGAGACTGGCAAAGTCTTGTTGCTCCAACTTGGTAGCAAGCTCCTCAGCCCGGTCGGACACGGCGGTGAAAGGGAGCCAACCGGCCAAGTTAGTCAGTGCAATCGAATAGGGGCCTGTTCCACGGAAATCATGATAAATCAGTCAGAGTCAGGCAAATGTGAGTGGGATAACTCTGGCTTGGAGGACTACTAACCGGTCTTGTTGGCTGCCCACACCTCGTCGGCCCAAGTCTTGAAGTGATTTCCCTCAACTAAGTCGTTCGGGTTGGGGTGGATCTCAGTAAGCTTAGAGACTACAGGTGGGTTAGCTTTCGTTTTCTTCGTCGACTAAAGGTCTGTTGTATCGCGCCCATAAACATCTCATGACTTACGAGTAATGTTCATGGTAGAGAGACTGCTGTGGTCTTGGAAGTTCTGACCGACGCCAGGGAGATCAACGAGTACATCGATGCCACCAGCTTCGAGAAGGCTCTTGGGGCCAATACCGCTAAGCTGCAGGAGTTGGGGAGTGTGGATGGCACCGGCAGCAAGGAGGACCTCCTTCTTTGCAGTGACCGTGACGAAGCTGTTGTTTCCCAAGGGGAATTCAACTCCTGTAGCGCAGAGCTTGTCGTCAAGAATCAACTTGCGGGCCTGGGTATTGAGCAAAAGGTGGTAGTTCGGACGAGTGGCATTGACGTTGAGGTAGTGGCCGGTGCCAGCGTAGGAGCGGGTGACGGTACGGGGATCCATGAGCGTGGGGAACCAGAAGACACCGGGCTTTCCGGCACCGCTGTCAGCCGGGAACTCCACTCCGTCAATCTCCTTGAAAGCCTCAACTAGAGGCTTGACGCCAGGGTAGTAGAACCGCGGCCATCCGGCATAGATCTCTGACGAGTCTCCCCAGTAGGAGGCGTCATACTTGACGCTGTCAAAGTTGTCAGTCAGCTCGGGAGGCGGCTCAGTGAAATGAAGGCCCTGTTGGAGCGATGGTCAGCTTGGTGTCGCCATTAGAGAGTTGTCACATCAGGCCTCCGTTCTTACCTTCTTAAAGAACGGCAAGATGCCATCCCAGCTCCAGTCGGCAGTTCCCTGCTGAGCCTCGGATCCGAACAGGCTAGCCCAACGGTCGTAGTCCTCGGCCGATCCACGCATGTTCATCATGGCGTTCACTGACGCACCACCTCCGACCTGTTTGGCGATGAAGACATTGCTCGTTCTTCCGTTCAGACCGGGCTGGGGCACAGACTGGAGTCCAGGCCAAAGGAGGTCGGTGAACGCTCCAGTCCGAGTGAGGAAGGAAACCTTGAGGTTCTCGGACATGTTGCCCCAGTCTGCAGCCTCCAGAACCAAGACTTTGGTCTCAGGGTCCTCTGTCAGACGGTCTGCGACAGTCAAACCTGCAGTTCCACCACCGACAATGACATAATCGTAGCTGTTCAGCAACTGAGATGAGTTGATTTGGCGGGGAATCACATAGGCGTCAGTGACACAGCTTGCTCCGAGGAGAACCGCGGATGCGATTGTCAGCCACCGGGGCTTGGATTGATGAAAGAACGGCATGGTGAACGATGAGCGTCTCTACCAACTAGCAGAATACTATGCAAAAGAGAGTGAAGGCTGCTGGGACACATACAAACTCCAACGATGCGGTATGATAAATCGTTTTACTTATACACAATTCTCCTTGTGTTCAGGGCAAAACACTTGGCGCTAGCCCGGAAGCATTCCAGAGCCGTTAATACGCTTACAGTATATCTCACAAATGCATGTCATATCAGACTTCTGATTCGGAAGGTCGACATATGCAGGGGCAAGCTCGGAGATGGGCCCGCCAGATGGATCAGTCGCCAAGCTGCCAAGTCGTGCGGCGGTGCTGTTGGACAACCAACTGAAAAGGATACAGAGTTGAGTTGACGGAGTTGCGGAGGCCATGATCCATTGGCGAGCCATATGCTGTTGGTTCTGTACGACTCTATGTGCAACGGCACTGCAAGTACCAACGGGATCTTAGCCTAATTTGATCATCGGAGAATGTTAAAGCAATGGTTTGCGCCTCTTTTCTGCAGCTGCTGATCACCACATGACAAGGCTGTTTAAGGTAAATTATAATCTCAAGGAAGGGAATAAGTGGGAATATCCCGTCTCCCGAATCCTGAGCGACCTCTTTTTTCGTCAACTTCCTTTTTCTGCTTCATAAACTCTGTTTGCGTTACGCTCTCCACCCACAAACAACTCACGGAGCCAAGTCTCTCTGTTTACTGCCTTGTAGTCGCCCCGCTGTTGTCGAGAATTCTCTCAAGCGCGCGGGAGTCCCGCCGGCCCATCTTATCAGATCCTTCTTCGTTGTCGGGTATGTCTTGGCGGCGGAGCCATGTCAATAAATTTGAGTTTTTAGTCATCACAACTCCTTTCTCAGCTTATTTCTCCGAGAATTACCTCACGCGAAAGAGGTTAATCTTCGGCGAGAATCCAAACCTTCGTCAAGAAGAACAGAGTGCGATCCCCTCTAACACAGCCTTACGTCCGTTATGGCCGTTGCTGACATTCTTGGCATGCGCGACCTTGTGACCAGAACAGGTAGGTGGCATAGAGCCACATAGACTTGGTTCTTGGCTATCCCCATAGCCGGTAGCGAGTTCGATGTGCGCTTCACATAAAATTTGAGTTGCTTAAGCCAAGATGATCGTCGGAATACGGCCACATACTTGGCAGGGGTTGCACTTCGGCTAATATACCATCCCAAGGATCAGACGATAGAGTTCTGGATGTGGCAGGCGGTGCTGTCTACACAAAGTCCGAGATCCTAGGAGACTGGATACTTGGTCTAGCTCACAACTCACACCCATGTACGAGTACTGACGGATGCTGAGTCTAAACTACACGGGTGTTGACCGCTCAAATCGTTGGCGAGAGGGGGGCGTTTATTTCTGGCTTGCTGCTATGATGGAAAATATTCAATTAAGCATGGAACCACATGTCCAACATTTCACTTTCCGTCAAAACGGTGTAGCTCTTTCAAGTTTTTGACTCTTCGTGCGCCATACTAAAGCTAATGTCGGAGCATACACTTCAATCATAGTGAGATGGGGAGCTGATCCA